TTTCCCTATCTAGCCTGGAGTACATAGCACAGCAACAGAAATAAGATTCTACCTCATCAAGGGAGGAGGCAAGAACCAAATCCCCCAAAGCTGACCTGATTTCCACACATGCCACACATGCATTGTGGCTTGTGCACACCTGCACTCACACACACATCACACACACCAAACACACACACACATAAATTAAATGATCTTTCAATAATGAAAAAGCTCAAAAATTAGATAAACTCTATAAGGAGAATAAAAATAAATATTTTTTTAAAACAATAATTTAAAGTCAAAAGATACTGCTAAATGTGTGTTGGGGGAGAGAAAATACAGGGACAAAAGAGAAAAAGAAGTCAAGGGAAATAAAAAAGGAATGCATAAATAATGAAATGCACACAGAATAATGAACGCATAGTAATATTAGATGAATGTATGTAGGGGAATAATAAAAACATTGAAGGGGTTAGAGAGATGGCTCAGCAGTTAAGAGCGCTGGCTGCTCTTGCAGAGGACCCGGGTTCGATTCCCAGCACCCACATGGTGGCTACAAACCGTCTGTAACTCCAGTTCCTGGGGAATCTGAAACCCTCCTCTGACCTCTGCGGCATTGCACGACATGGGTGCACTTACTTACACGCAGGCAATACACTCATACACATAAAATAAAAATAATAAATATTAAAAATAAAAACATTGAAAAACACCAGTGAAGCAAAAACCCTGCTACACTTGTAGAGAAAAAAGGAAATCAAGAGGTCCAAAGAAGAAGAAAGAAAGAGAGAGAGAGAGAGAGAGAGAGAGAGAGAAAGAGAGAGAAAGAAAGAGAAAAACTACAAAGAAAAAAAGGGTTGTACTAACTTCTGAGTCCTTGAAAATTGCAGGTTGACAGTTGTAAGCATGGGGCTGGGATCTTGTCTTTCTTACAGTTCATGCTGTTTCTGAGTGTATTGGACAGCGTCTGATTCTTTCACATATCAGAGACCTATGTTGTCCACATTTGGCTTTGCATTCTGACTGGGTTGATTCTCTCTCCCTCCTAGTGGTCCCAGAGCTGGCTAATTTTTACCTGGGGGTGTTCCTCAAGTGCCCTGGGAGTGTGGGGAGGAACCACAACACTGAGATCCACACAGGCACAGGACCTGTCTTCATACTCTCAAGGCCTTCTGAGGATTCGTCATCTTGTTGGAGGGATGCAGGTGTGGATGCCATGTACATCCCTGGGATGTAGAGTTCTTAGGCTCTATGGCAGTGAATGACAGGTGCTCCAGAGTTTGATCTCCCTGCTGGTCTCCGGTTCAGAGCTATCGGGATCCCAGGTTATTCTCAGTTGATGAGATCTGATGCCAGTTGGCCACCAAGGGCGGGGTTCTTTCTCCATGTGCACATCCTAACCGGAGCCAGCTGTCTGCTGCCTGTGCCCTTCAGCTGGTCAGTGTCTGACTCTCCCAATTGCCTTACCCAGGAGCTTTAGAACTTCTCAACCGGTAGATGTTTCCTGCTCATAAGCCTTCTGTGTAGCTCAGTTATTAATAGTTTTTTTCAGTATGTGTAGAAAAGAAAATTTAAGCTTCAAATGATACTGTCAGTGGGCAGCTTCATGATTCTGCAAAAGGTCAAGGACATGGCCTCTGAGGCCCGAACTATGAAGCAAAGATGGTCTCCACACCAGGCACCACCTGCAGCTCTGACCTGTGGGAATCAGGAGGGTGCTGGAGTGTGATCACCTGCCACACTGACAGACACATGCTGGTTCACTCACAGGTCTCTGCAGCCATTGCCAGCCAGGGCTGCCTGTGTGACCTGTCTGCCTTGACTTTGAAGTTAAATATCCTGTTTCACCGAACTTACTAATACAGTAAAACATTTAGAAAATAAACCTTATAATGCTGCCGCTTAGGAAACTCAGACCCAGAGAGGCCGATTTAGGGTCACAATGCTGGCCCCTTGGCAAGTCCCAAGAGTCTGAATGAAGTTAGTACAGGGACAGTTTCCTCAGGAAGATTATCTGAAAATATTAAAAAAAACAAACCTCAGGGTTGATGTGTGATTGATGAAGACTGTGGGTTCATCCTAAGGGTAATATTAAATATTAAATATTTTCTTCTAGAGTCCTTTGAGAAACTTTATATAAGTGGATCAGTCATCATATGACACACGCTAAATCCACCATTTTGTTTGATCAGCCAGGAATTAAATTTTATTTTATGAGAGTTTTGGGTATGTAAGTACACCCAAGTTGTGTAATGCCTGCAGAAGCAAGAGAGGGCATCGAATCCCCTGGAACTGGAGTTTTGGTTGGTGGTTAGCAGTCATATATGTGCTAGGAACCAAAACTGTGTCCTCTGCAAGAGCAGTTCTTAATCTCTGAGCCCCATCAGCCAGGTTTTAATCAAGGACAGGAAAAAGAAAAAGAAAAGCTTATGGTTACATTTTTAAAGAACATGATGCTGGGGCTGGAAAGATGGCTCAGCGGTTAAGAACACTTGCTGTTCTTCCAGAAGACCAGGGTTTGATTCCCAGCACCCACATGGCAACTAACAACGGTCTGTAACTCCAGTTCCAGGGGATCTGACACCTTCTCCTGGCCTCTACAGTCTTTGCACAAGGTTTCACTTACATACAGGCAGGCAATACACTCACACATAAAATAAAAGTAACAAAATATTTTTAAAACCCATGATGCTTAGAGAGATGGGTTTTTGACAAATACTTGTCATTATGCTTAAAACTGCATTTGCAGTTGGAGCTGTATAGAGAGGCATTTTGACTTCCCCTAGAGACAGGGATTATCCTGGAAATTTTGGATTGTTTTCTGACAGAAAGTTTATGCTTTTTTTGGTGTGTGTGTGTGTGTGTGTGTGTGTGTGTGTGTGTGTGTGTGTGTGTGTGTGTGTGTGTGTGTGTGTGTGTGTGTGTGTGTGTGTGTGTGTGTGTGTGTGTGTGTGTGTGTGTGTGTGACAGAGTCTCCCTGTTGCCCCAGCTAGCCTGGAATGTACTATGTAGACCAGGGTGGCCTTGAACTCAACAGAGATCCTCCTGCCTCTGCCTCCCAAGTGCTGAGACTAAAGGCATGCGCCACCACACCTGGAGAAAGTTTATGCTTTTAAGAAAGCCAGAGAGTAAAGGTTATGATTGGTGATTTCCAGTGTCAGTGATTATAGGGAGCCACGTAACTGGAAAAGTTTAGAGTTTTGCTCTACAAGTTTATTTTCCTTTGTTAAATTCTAGAAGCAGGGGGATCAGGAAGTTAGTGTGCCTGGATTCTAGGATGACTTCTACTGCTAGAACTCTCTCTGCTACCAACTTTACCTCTTTGGGCTGCAGATCTGACCTGGTACTCTTAAAATATTTTGTTCCACTATCTTCTTCTTGCAGGTTTAAAAAAAAATTATTATTATTGTTATTATTATTATTATTAGATAGGGTCTCTCCCTGTAACCACAGCTGACCTGGAATTCGATATGTATACCAGGCTGGCCCCAATCTCTCAGAGATCTGCCTGCCTGTGCTTCCCAAGTGCTGGGATTAAAGGTGTGCCCCACCACACCCAACCTAGGTTTATTATTTTTATGTGTTCCTGTATGAGTTTATGTCTACCATATGCATGCAGGTGCCCTCAGAGGCTAAAGGGTATTAGATCCCTTGGAAGTTGAGTTACAGGTGGTTGTGAGCCTCCTGATGTAGGTGCTGGGAACCAAACTTGTTTCCTTTGCGAGAGCAGTATGCGCTCTTCTGAGCCATCTCTCCAGCTCAGAGGTCTTATATCATTGTTTTCCTTAGTGGTTGGCCAAGGAGTCCTGCTTTCTTCCATCAGCTATAACAAGGCACCTGCTGCTACTTAATGCATTCTAGACATGATAGGGAAGCTAGGTCAATGAAATCTCCACAGTACGGCGGTCTAACAAGATTTGCATAATGACAAAACCAGTTGACATGCCAATCTGTGATGGAGGAAATTTCACAGGGTCTCACCCCAAGATGAAGAGCTACAGGCAATCGAAGGATGCTGAGGGAAAATCAGTCTTCTACAGGGATTAGCTTCCCGAGAGATAATCCCAAGGGGGGTAACCCTAAACACAGGTATACAGAAGAACAAATAAATGGACTAAGTGCATCATATATTTATAAATCTTATGTATATGCAACAATAATCAAAGAGGATAAGAAACTGTGAGGGCGTGAGGATGGGACATGGAAGGACCTGGAAGGGGCACGGGAAGGTGGGAACAATCCAAACAATACTCACATCAAAACCTTAATAAAAAATTGAAAAAAAAACTTAAAGGGTCAGATAGTGTCACAAGTAATGCTGAAAGGCTTGGCTAGTTTATACTCACAGACTGCATGGGTTGTCATGTAGACCAGAAAGGGAACCCTTGCCTCTGAGGGTCAGGGTCCATCTGCCCCTGGATGACTTCCAGGGATGTCCCTGCATACCAGCTTGAAATGTGACATTCCTGGTGCTAACCATGTTTTTATTCATTTACCAAACACGTGAGCACCTACTTTTGTACATGGCCCCGCTCTGTAACCTTATCTGAATAGCTTACCTTAGCAATTCCTTGCCTGCCAGGACTCTATGCTGACTAAATGCTCAACGTTGTCTCTCTTAAAAAGCAACTGTAAAGTCATCCCTTCCACCTGCTGCTCTGTTAACACAGTCACATCACAGAGAGACATTCAGGGCTGATTTGAATTCTTTTGTGACTCAGGGATTAGAAGGAGGGAGGGTGGCACCATGGATCAACCTCAATATTCTGGGCATCAGCATTGGCCACGCCTCTTCCTTCTGATTCTGAGTATTTTCTCATTTGGGAACTGGTAGACAGCAAGCACAGTCCTGGAAAGGAGACCCACAGAACCCATAGTTCAAACAGGAGCTTAGACATGAGGGCCACCCCAGACCTTGGACAAATGACTTCCAGAGGTCATGATAGAAACTTGACTACATCTGCACAGTCGATGCTCAATACGCACAACTCGGCTAGGAGAATGAAGTACAACGTTCATGTTTGGAAAAAAATTTATTAAAAAATTAAGGTGAGTGTGCTCCGCCCAAAACAAAACAAAACAATAAACCAAGCCCACACAATTGACACATACCTTTAAATAGCAAGCATGTGACACTGGTTATAAAGTTTTCCTAACCACTGATCTAGTTTTTCACACCAGCTACTGTCAAGGAAGGCCTCTAAGGGAAGCCATGTGTAAACAGGTCACCCTCACTACAGTGAGCAACAGCTAATCACGTGAGAACTCTACAGGCCACGAGACCCGCTTTCCTACACAACCCACCCAAAACACAAGACAGCAACCAAACCTTGGGAGTGTATTCATGTGGATCTAGAGTTCTGGTTTCAACATGAAGGTGGGCAGAGGCTGGGGGCAGGAAATAGTAGAAAGACCAACAGTATCAGTAGAGGACAACCTTAAGAGCACCTTTAAAACCTGGACCTTCTTCCACAATTTAAGCCAGTCATCCAAACTATTGTTGAAAAGAATCACCTGATGAGATTGTTAAACTTCATGGATTCTCTGAATCTGTGTTGGAGATGAGCTCTCCAGGTGATTCTGTATAAACTGGTCAGCCACCCAGCTTGAAATCCATTAAAATAATTTCTGCCTCCTAAAAACAAAAGGCATCTGATGAAAGCCACTGTTTGTTTTGTCACATCAGGATCAATGTAACGAGGCAGGAGGGAAGCAGCCCTGAGCAATCTTACAAGTGTTGTTCAGGAAGTAAATAAAAATTTAATAATAGAGTTGATTTGAGATCACAGACCAGCCTCTGAATGACTAACAGGCCCACCCCATTTATCACAGTTTAATTGTATCAATGACAGACAGGAAGTTGTTGTTCAAATGAAACATAGGGTAGTTGTGGGTCCTGACTTGGGAAGACGTAGTGAATAAAACATCTATTTAAAAAACCCTTTATTAAACAGAGTACTATGCCCAAATGGTTTCCATGGTTTATGAAAGCCTCCTGGAACTTCATGGGCAACATGTAGAAATAGTTACATTGATTCCAAGGTTCCCGTTATCTGCAAAGAGATGTGCTATGGCTGTGTCAAAAACAAGGCAGTCACTGTTCATGATGGCTGCGGCTACACCATCATGAATGGACCGGGGTGTGGCTTCCCAGGTCAGTCTTCGCCGGTTCCCATTCAACTCCAGTCTGTAGGCAAAGTTCTCAGCTTGCTTGCGGGTCCCAATGAGCAGGACGATGGCAAAAAACTGCTGGTGGCCTTCATACTTCTCTTGCTTCTCCAGCACCAGCATGAAGTGGTGGCCAAAACAGGACTGCATCATCACCCAGTCCACAGCCCCTGGCAGGTTAATGTCTGTAGCTAGAAAGACAATGTCCTCTCCCTGAAGGGTGGTGATGCTCTTGTGGGCGTGCATGAGATGGGACATCACAGCTTCCAGGGACCCCTGCCATTTGCAGGAGGCACCAGGACAAGGGCAGGAGTAGGGACGGTATTCACAGATGTCTTCGTGCTCTGGCTTCTCTGTATGGTGTAGAGTCAAGGAACAGCCCGTGGTCGCATACTGTGGAGACAGGAAGCAACATACTGTATAATGCAGCCTTCTCAAACTTTTACCCTCCAAATACCTTTGTACATCTACCCACTAAGGTGTCCCAGGTGTAAGCTGTATCCTTTTCACAGCTACTTTTCTTCAAGGGGAGTAAATTTAAGACAGGTCTAAGTTCCCACTCATTGTTAATATCATGCTATATGAAACCAGGGGCACGCCCTGGACCAGGAACAGCCTGCTCTTCATGCCATGTCCACACTGGTAAAGGATGAGAACCAAAGTTGTTCTTCTACATATCTCAAGCAAGCAAAACTTTTGAGATAACCTGGTCTTTCTCTAATTTTCTAAATCTCTGCCTTCTTTTAAGAATTTATTTGCTTACAAGTGGGATTGGGAAGAATCCTGTATTATTTACAGACTAGTTTTGTTTATAGATGAAAATACACAAATTTTTTACTGTCTCCCTCTACTCCTTCCTTAGATGACAGGCTCCAGTCAGTGGGAAGGTGCTCTGTGGTTCCATGCTCTTGATTGCTAGTGTGACCAAGTTTGGGCAGAGCAGGCTGGGATTCCATCCCACCTTGCTGTGTCCTTTGAACTCCACCTCCCCCAGATGCTGTGCTACAGTGTTTGTTTTTGTTTTTTTGTGGAAAGAAATCACATTCAAGAGTTAAATCTTGGTGAACATCTTAGTGGAGGCTAAAGTGAGAAAGACTTAACCTTCTTAAAGCCTACTGAATGCTTCCAAAATAACTTCAAGTTCAAGTGCATATCTCTTTATGATGAGGCAGGTGAGGCCTCCTGACAGGCCAAGAGGGGACTGTGATGGATAATCACGGCTGTGAACATGACATACCTAGAAGGGGTCCCTCAATTGATAACTTTTACGTCCATCAGATTGGTGGCCTTGTCTGTGGAGCATTTGCTTAACTGCTAATTGATATAGCAGGGGCCTGTCCACTGAGGGAGGTACCATCCCTGGGCAGGTAGGCCTGGGCTGTAAAAGAAAGCTAGCTGAGCAAGCAGGAGGAAGTAAGCCAGTGAGCAGCGTTCATCCCCGCCTTCTGCTTCAAGTTCCTGCCTTGGCTTCCCTTGATGATGGATTGTGGTTGGTCCTCCCCCAGGTTGCTTTGGTCAGTGTGTTAACATGGCAACAGAGAAGCACCTAGAACATAAGCTGGATAAGCTTCTGACAGAGCCTGCCCTTCAGACACTGCAAAACCTTTTCCTCCCACTCTCATTCCAACAGATAAATAATGCCCATCATGGCAGAAGGCCACTCTGAAAGGGACGCTAGTAGAATGGTAATTCTAGGTATCAGGAGATCAACCCACAGACACCTGCCCAGTACACTGTGCGGTAGCCACAGAAAGAAGAATCACTTTTTAGGTAAAATGAGAGTTGGCTTCAGATCCTTGGAGCACAGAGTAGAGGTAAGTACATGTCTTACTGAACTTGTCCCCTGCCCACCAACTCTGCTGAGCCACGACAGTACCAAAGCAGGGCAGCACTGTCATCTTTCTGAGATACTAAAACAAAAAAGCAACCAGGACCAGGCGTGGTGGTGCACACCTTTAATCCGAGCAATGGAGAGGAAGAGACGGGTGGATCTCTGAGATGGATGGAGGCCAGCCTGGTCTATACAGCACTTTCCAGGTCAGGTGGAGCTATAGGGAGACCCAGTCTCAAATTTTTTTTTTTTAAAAGGAGCAAACCCAAAGCCCACAGTTGATTTTCCTTCTCTTGACCCTGTCTTACGGATTAACCTCCAACATAAGCTTCACCTAGGTCAAAACCTAACCTTTCCGGAATGTCTTACTAACAAGGAGGGCCTGCCTGAGCACCAGTGCTCTGGAGGCTGAGGACAGAAGGGTCCCAAGGTTTAGGCCATCCTGGGTTACAGAAAACCGTATTTCAAAAAACAGAAATCAGAAAACTAAATAGCAGCTTCCAGCTCAGCAGAAATAATTCCATGTTATTCACTTTGCTGATAGGAACTGCCTGTTCATATTTTTGAACCACAGACTAATTCTGAAAGTTCAGGCATAAAAAACAATCTTGGTCATATAAGGAGAAATAAATTTATTCCTATCTATTTACACTTTATGTCCCCAACTTACAAGAAATCCCTGTGAACTGTGTTTTAAATCTGGGGTGTGGAAGACCATAGAGTCTCTGATGTTCTCCTGTGGGTGGTGGGTGAGGCATTTCTGTCCAGAGTTTAAAAAACATACATACACACAATAAAAATAGAACTGCCCAGAGCCTAGCTCAATATTTGGATCTGAAGATGCCTCAGAATGGGCTGCTGACCTCAGCTGCCCAGGACCAAGCCCAAAAATGTGGTGGAGTTTGGCAAAGGGCACTCAGAAAAGTAGCATGTGTGCTTCTCCCTAAAGTTCAAGACCACTCCTCCTCACAGAGCCAACATCCACAGCAAGTATTTATCACGAGTGTCATTTAGGGACCTTTCCTGCTCAAGTAGGAATATTACATACTCAGTTACTTTATTGCCACACATACAACTCTTCAGAGAAACTCCCGAAATTATACAAATAGAAGAGGCCTTCTTTGCATCTACATGGACAGTGACCTTATGAAAAAAGACCTTGCTACATGGTCTGGTAACTTAAACATGTTTTTAAAGCCTTAGGTATTTGCTCTGCTTCAAAATTAGCCGAATACCAGTCTATCTCGTGCCACCATAAGAGAGGTGTGTGTGTGTGTGTGGGGGTCAAAGCGGTGTTTTTCAGGACCACTGAGGACACCTCTATGGTAACTGGATTAAAGATGACCTCCAAGAAGAAAACATCTAAGCCTTTTTTGTTTTGTGTTTCTTTTTTTTACCTGGACTAGAGCTTGGGACTTCATACATAGTAAGTGCTATACCACTGAGCTGTACCCTAGACCAAGATCCAAATTTAATTTCCCTCTTCATACTGTGCACAGTGCGTACTGCTAATAGCTTTGCTATTGCTCTAGAATGCTATTTTCCAGCATGGTGGGGGTTATTGTCACCCACATTAGAAGCTCCCCCCTAGATACTGGAGAAAGGACATTAGGGTTCTATGAATTCCCCAAGACTGTATGTAAAACCATCTAGATGATTCTGAGCAGCAAACCCAAATCTCTTTGGTCCTTGGCCTTGTGCTTATGTATTCTTGAAAAGCTCCAAGGGTTTCTGAAGGTTGCCAGGGCTACCAACCTCTACCCTAAGAGCACACAGTGGGAATCAGCTGCTGAGGCTGTGTGTGCTGTTTCCAGGTGAGCCTCCCATATGCTGCCATATGCTATAAGAACAAACAACTCAAATGCAGTTGCCTCCCTGTATTCTTAGTTTTGCTTTCCTTAGTCTGTTACCTGCTGTCAACCCCAGCCTGAGAACAGTAAATGTAAAATTCCAAAACCAAACATACAGTTTAAATTGCAGGCTACTCTGAGTAGCATGATGAAATCCTGCACAAGTCATCCTATCGTCCAGAGTAGCCATTGTGTATATGCTACCCACTTGATACTTCCATGGCTCAATGATCTAGGGTCCCACTGCTCAGCGTATCCATTGTATATATGCTACCCACTTGACACTGTCATGGTTCAGTGATCTAGGGTCACCTGAAGAAAAGTTATATTTATAGGGAAAATACATAAAGTACATATTATGGTATATAGTTACAGAATTACCTCACAGGCATCCAATAGTGGTCTTGAAACCCATTTGCCAAGGACAAAGAGACAACTTCAGAAATACAAACACGGAAAGGAAGACTGAATGACAGCAGGCTATTTCAAAGAGATGGCAGTATGCGGGCCAGAAGGCAGACTGTGGATGGAGTAGTTCCTTCTGGTTCTAGCACAGGGTGAGTGCAGGAAACTGTACAAACGAAGGCAGGTCAGGGGCTTTAACATTTCAGGATTTCTCTGTACTGCTGATCTGCACAAGTCCCTGCAGGCACTGTGCTATGTATTAGAGGATGTTCAACAGCTTCCCTGGTTTCTACTCATTAGATGCCAAAAGTGCCTATCCCTGGCCCCCAGTTGTGATCATAGAAATGTTTCTAGGTGTGCCCAAATGTCTCCTAGCAGGCAAAACCAACCCAGTTGAGAACCAACCAATCTGATTCTGATGAATGACAAAGCCTGGCTTCTGGGTGGCCACATGTATAGCTATAGGGGACACAGCAGTTACTGACCTACCCACTGGGTCTACTGTAACTACTGGGAAATACCAGCCCTGACATACACCACACCCATACTGTTTGCAAAGCCTGGGAGTGTGCCAGTGAGCTGGTTCTACCTATTTTCCTGACTAGAAACTAGAGGCTCCTGGAGTGTAGTCAATAGCAGGAGCTGCTCCCTGGGCCAGGCATAGATGGACCACTTGTGGCCACCAGACCCTGATTCCTGCCCTAAAAGAACAGAGATAATCTCCCTTCTGCCTTCACCTCCAGCCTCAATCCCACATTCAAACCTGGAGTCCACAGACACGCTGCTTTTGGCATCAGGCTCTGAGACGTTTTCCCTGGTGTGCAAGTGCAGAACAGCCCTGGAAGCAGGGCTCCCTAAGGCAGTAGCACCTTGCACAGAAGTACCCGGGCACCCACCTTCCCCAGTTTCTCTGGCATCTGCCAACATCATCAGAGGCCTTGCTTTTCATACACTGCCCAGTGTGGGTTTCTTCATACGCAAAGGGGCCAGCCAGCAGACTCCTGTAGCCTGTGGGAGGGCTTTGCTTTTAGTGGTTTGGTTCTTCCCTGTATCCAAGTGCTGCTAAAGGAGCCCCTGGGCCACATGCAAAGGGAGGCCTGTGTGTCCTGAGACACAGCCACAGCTATAAATGAGATTCCTCCTTTGGGAAGGATGTGCTCATTTTCCTCTGGGGGTGTGGTGGGGTGGGATTATTTTTAAATAAACCTCCTTAAAGAAAGAGAAAAAGAAAGAAAAAGAAAATGGGGGTGGGGGAGGAATAGCTCAAAGCTAAAGAATGTGGGGAAGGGCAGAAGGAGAAACAAATG